AGGGGGGAGGGGGGAGACAGGAGCAGAGGTGCCAAGGACCTGGCTGTGCATCAGAAGCCCCTCAGCGCCCTGTTAAAACTCAGACTCCAGGGCTCTGCCCCTGGCAGCTCTGACTCGGTAAGTCCCAGAGGAGGCCTAGGGGTCAGTATTTTACCAAGTTTCCTAGGTGATCCGATGCTTGTCCGGGAACATAATCTGAATTGTTCTAAAGATAAAAAACTTCTGTGGATTTATTCAGTTCTTGAGATAAGTATCTAAGGTCCACCTGCTGGAAAGTTATAGGACCTGTGGTTTCGATCCTTCATTTTGCTGCTTCGGCCTTTCTGTAATCCTAGAGGGCGGGGCCTGAGCCCTTTATTGTAATTCACAATGAGGAGCATTACATGCACGGAGCATCTGCTGCACTCCAGGCCTGTGCTAAGGGTTTAACATGCATCGTTCCACGTACTCCCCAAAGCAGCTTCTGGGTTAGATACTGCTGTTCCCCCTTTTTTACAAACGAGGATATTGAGGCTCAGAGAGCTTAAGTAACTTGCTCAAGGTCACTCAACTAATAAGGGGCAGAGTTGGGACTAGGACTCTAATCCAGAGTCCACGCTCATGACGGCAGTGAGTACCACGGGAGTGCCAGGTTCAAGAGCGGGTCTGTGTGATTCTGGGGCCACCGTGTGGACCCCCACACTGCCCAGCCTGGCAGAGAGGTAGCCAGTTGTGAGGGTCTCACTGGCCACCTTGAACGACCATGGCTGAGTGGGGTCTCTGTCTCTGCAGGTGTGTGCCCAGCTGTGCCCAATGCCGTGTACCTGCCCCTGGCCGCCGCCCCAATGCCCACCGGGGGTGCCCCTGGTGCTGGATGGCTGCAACTGCTGCCGGGTATGTGCACGGCGGCTGGGGGAGCCCTGCGACCACCTCCACGTCTGTGACTCCAGCCAGGGCCTGGTGTGCCAGCTCGGGGCGGGCCCTGGAGGCCAGGGGGCCGTGTGCCTCTGTAAGCAGGTTTGCGGGACTGATGGAGGGTGTGGTTGGAGGGGAGGGGTGGCCAAGGCCATGTTGTCCTCAGTCAAAGGGAAGCCTTTCTCTCTCTACCTTTTACCTTCACTTCAGATCCATCATCCAGTTCAGCCAAACCTGGTTACACAAGGTTCCCTAGGCCCACTCACTGCTTCTCTCCTCTTGTATTTACTATGACCATGCCAACACCTGAACAGCCTTCCTCCATTCCTACCTGCCCATATCATAGCCATAACCTCCTCCTCTGAGAAGCCCTCCAGTATTCTTCTAACCAGAAGTCATCACCCCCTCCTCAGGACCCTCAGAATACTTTTGGGAAAATAAAAGTGCAACAACCCCTTATTGAGGGCATAATATATGTCAGGCACTTTGCTAAGCACTTACTACATAAATCACAATAATCCTATGAGGTAAGTACTTTCAGACCCATTTTATAGATGAGGAAACTGAGGTTCATAGATATTAATGGACAAGCTTAATATCGCACAGCTTGGGACCTGTTCCAACAGGCTCTAAAACAGTGGTTCTCAACCTTCCTAATGCCGCGACCCTTTAATACAGTTCCTCATGTTGTGGTGACCCCCAACCATAAAATGATTTTCGTTGCTACTTCATAACTGTAATTTTGCTACTGTTATGAATCATAATGTAAATGTCTGATATGCAGGATGTATTTTCATTGTTACAAACTGAACATAATTAAAGCATAGTGATTCATCACAAAAACAATATGTAATTATATATGTGTTTTCCGATGGTCTTAGGCGACCCCTGTGAAAGGGTCATTCGACCCCCAAAGGGGTTGCGACCCACAGGTTGAGAACCGCTGCTCTAAAGCAACATTCTGTCTCTCCTCCTCCTGGATCCGGAGCCCATAGTTTGCATTTGCCAGTGGCCCTGAGATCCTCCATCTTCCACACTCTTCCGGCCCCCGGGCCCCTGATGCGTTGGACGGGGTTCTCAGCGCCACACTAGGGACATTTGGGACCAGATTATTCTTGTTTCGGGGCTTGTCCTGTGCTTGCTAGGGCATTTAGCAGTGTCCCAGGTCTCTGCCACTAGATGCCAGTGGCACCCTCATCCCCAAGTTATGACAATCTGTCTCCAGACATTGCTGAATGTCCCCGGGGAGAAAATCAACTCCAACTGAGAACTCGCTGCTTTAGAGAAATAGAAAGAAGCAAGGAACTGTTCCTTCCTTCCTCCCTTCCTCCCTTCCTCCCTTCCTTCCTTCCCTCCCTCATTCTCCCCATCCCTCCCTCCCTTCCTCCCTTCCTCCCTTCCTCCCTCATTCTCCCCCAACCCCCTTGCTCTAATAAGCCTTGTAGAGCAATTGATCTCTTTCATCTATGTGCATGTCACACTTCTATACAAATAAGAACAAGAGAAAGAGGCGCCCATGAGTCCATCTATAGGAAAAACCCTGCTAACAAGCAAAACAACAAAACTTGGAGACAGAAAGTTATCCTTAGTAAATCCTTGTTAAATATTTTATGGGATCAGAGGCGTATAATAATAAGAAAGGGGCGATTTGTAGATAAACTCATAGATGATTGCTAATTTAAAAAGTGCCTAAAGAAAGAAATGAGACAAGCAACATAGCTTATAAGGCTGATGTTTAGATTAGCCACGGCACTTGTCAGAGTTTACTTATTGCACAGCACTTAGTATGTGCCAGCCACTAGGGGTTTCACAAATCCCACCTCATTTGACCTCCCGACAACCATGTGATGTAGGCACAGATGCTATCCTTATTTTATAGATGGAAAAAGGAGGCACAGAGAGGTGAAGCTACTTGCCCAAAGTCACACAGCTCATAAGTAGCTGAGCTGGGATTTGAACCCAGGAAGCTGGCTTCACAATCTTAGTGTCCATTGTTCTACTGCTTGACACCCGACATATGCCTGGTACCTAGTGGCTGCTATTGCCAAGAACTTCATTCAGGGGCCTTTTTCTTTATTTATTCCATCTCGATTCAGACTCAAACACCTGGAGGCCAAGGATTTATTTGGTCCTTGTTCCTTCCTGAAACTCCCAGTCCCAGTCTGGCAACATGGTGGATGCTCATGAATGTCTAATGATATGAACTGAACTTGGAAGCTGGGAGCTGGTGAACCCCACAGGTGGGCCAGGGCCAGCTAAGATGTCTCAGGGGCTAAACTAGGTCCTGGCTCTGGGGGGGACACCAAGCCCCTGGCTTCCGACCCCCCACACGTGCAGCTTCAGCAGCTCGGTGGAGGGCAGCTCCATCCTTCCCCTGGCTCAGGTTCAAAAGCTCGGAGGCCTCCTTGGAGTCTCTCTATTCTTTACATCCCACATCCCACATCCTCCAGCAAATTCTTCACAAAATTTCCAGGCCCTGACCCTTCTCTGTCCGTCCACTGCTACCAGCCTGGCTGGGCCCTGTTACCACTTGCCTGGATGGCAGTAGCTCCATAAGCCTCCCTGCTTCTGCCCCAGTCTATTCTCAACATAGTAGCACAAGGGCCCCTTGTGACACATAAGTCAGATCACGTCCCTCCTCTGCCTGGAAGTCTCCAACAGCTTCTCATTTCCTCAGAATAAAAGGCAGAGTCCTCTAGTGACCTGGTCCTGTGGCTCTCTTCTCTAACTCCCTCCCTCCCTCCTGCTCTCTGCTCCAGCCACACTGGCTCTTTGCTGCTCCTTAAATGCCCCAGGCACGTGCCCACCTCAGGGCCTTTGCACTGGCCTCCGTACTGTGTTCTTTGCCTCCTTCACATCTTTGCTCAAATATCACCTTCTCAGTGAGGACTTCCCTGATCAACAAACACATTTAAAAACTATAATCCTGCCCCGCTCCTTAACTCTGCCCTCCTTTACTTTTCCAGAACTAATCACAAATTCTACATACTTGTTATTGTATTTATTTCCACTAGAGCAACATCTCCAATGAGGGCAGGATTTTGCCTGTTTTAGTCATTGCTGTATCACAAGTGCCTAGAACAGTGCCTGATGCGTAGTAGGCACTCGATAAGTAATTGTTGAATGAATGAACGAATGAGTTCATGAATGAATAGTAACAATAGTTCTAGTGGGGCTAGCAATAACAGCCACCATTCATTTATTAAGCATGCACTGTGAGATAGCCCTTCATGCACATGGTTTAATTTTAGCCTTTAGTAATGAAGTAGGTCCTATTATTATCCCTATTTTGCAGATGAGGGAACTGGGGCTCAGAGAGGTTAAATCACTGCCTAAGGTCACACAGCATGCAAGCAGATAAAGGTAAAAAACACACACACACAAAATAAAACAAAACAAAGAACCTGTGTTGTTCCTTCTCCTGTAGGGGACTCTCAGGGGAAGAAGGATTCTGAAATCACCAGATGACAAAACTGTGCTCTGAATTAATTGGGGGAGGGCATTGGCGAGGGTCCGGAAGGAGGAGCGAGGTTTGGGCAGCTGTCAGTGTGCACGGATGGATGGTGGGGGGCCCACGACTGAGTAAGTGTGGAGGTACCTCGTGCTGTTGGGACCATGCCTGAGTGCACCAGGGCTGGGGAGTGGCTGCCCAGGCGTCAACCCCCCATCCTCCCACAGCCCGCTCTGAGCTAGAGGACCCAGGAGAGGCGCCAGGAAACCTTGCTAAAATTATCGCCCCTCTAGCTGACTTTCCTAAACAGTCCTCTGTTTACCAGTTCATCTCAGCAACCAAGAGGCCCGGGACCGTGGCACCAGGGCGGGGAGACGGGGCTTGGCCAGGCTGGGGAGAGGGATTGCGGTATAACTGCCCCTGCAGTTTTTAGGAAACCAGTGGCCACAGGGTCCAGGCCAAAAGCCTGGGATTGAAGTGAAAGGGAAGGAGGAAGGAGGGAGTACTGACACAGGTCCTGTTCCCTCTGAGGAAGAAACGTCACCCACTCCCATTTATTGAGCATCTGCTATGTTCTGAGCTTGGGGCAAAAGGCTTTGAGGTGGCTGGCTCATTCAATCCTCCAGTGGCCCGGGTACCACGGCTCAGAGAGGTGAAATACTTGCCCTCAGCTTGCAAGTGGGGAACTGGGGCTTGAACCCAAGTCTATATGGTTCCCGAATTCCTGCATGTGTACGGGCTGTTTGAGGTTTTTCTCTGAAGAGCTGGGAAAACGGGCTTCCCTTCCCAGACCCAGCGGAACTGCCACCACGTCTCCAGGAAGCTTCCTGATGGCTCCTTTCTTTGCACTTCAGCGGCTCCCACGCACCGCTCCGGGGCAATTGATTGTATCTTGGAGATGAGGACTTGTACATCTGTCTCCCGCTCTGGCCCCGAGTCTCCCCAGGCAAGGACTGTGTCTTAGTCCTGTCTAGGAGCACAGCGGTTGGCACACAGACAGGGCACAATACATGTCTTGGGAATTATAAGGAGTCAGAACTATGTTATCAGTGTCTCTTATATGCTGGGCTCTGTGCCAGGCATTCATTCAAAGGACATGGAGTGTGCCATTCATGCTGTGAGCCAGCACAGGGAATGCCAGGATGAACACTCTCAGGCCCAGCCCTCAAGGAGTTCGTGTCTAGCAGAGCAAGTGGTATTAGTGCCCATGTCTTGGGGGCTTCGTTCGAAGAGTGTTTCCTGAGCACCTACTATATGCCTAGCCCTATGCTAGATGCTATACACCCATTATCTCATGTCACTGAAGGGGGAGGTTGCTGTTCTCATCATTGCTGCTGTTAGGGTGACTCAGAGAAGTTAAGTAGCTCACCTGAAGTCACACAGCCAGCAAGGCAAGCCCTGACCTGACAGTATGACTGCACAGGCAGAGGGACAACGGAAGTTTGCTGCATGAAATCTCAGTGTGCACATCCGTTACCCATTGTTAATCTATCATAATTATACTAATAGCTACAACAGAGCAGACGTCTCCTTTCGGTTGCAGTCATTACATATATCGTGGTGTTTAGTCTATACCACAACCCCATGAGATACAGGGTGGGGCACAAGTAGGTTTGTAACTGTATGCGAAACAGAGTTTATTCTTGTGTCATTATTTATTAATTATTGTATTGCTTATATTGCAACTGTAAACCTACGTTTGCCCACCCCTGTAAGTACCATTGTAACCCATTTTGCAGGAGAGGAAACTGAGGCAAGAAGAAGTGAAATCACTTGGCCAAGGTCCATAGCTAATCAAGGGGCTCAGACCAGGCAGGTCTTCTCGCCAGCCCTGTGCCAGGATGCGGTCGGCCACGCTGGCTTCCTGCGGGTGCCAGGGCCGCTGGCCACGGGAGGGGGGGGGGTGTGGCTGGCTGGAGCCCCCGGGCAGTGCTCAGATGCCTCAAGGGCACAGCCCCCCAGGGGGACCTGGGCCAGCTCCGCAGACAGAGCCGCGTGGAGGATGTGGCCGGCCCAGCCATGCCTGGGGAAGGTTGGGGGTCACCGATGGGCCCTCTTTCTCCTCCGCAGGGGGAGAGGATGACGGGAGCTGTGAGGTGAACGGCCGCCGGTTCCGGG